CATCCTTTATGTTCTACACATGCAAGTTTCCATCGTACCTTCAATTCTGAAGTACTTTATTTAGCTTATCCTGTAGAGCAACTATGCTTGCAAATATTTCTTTTAGTTCAACTTCAATCAAAGATATTTTTGAAGGATATAGAATGGTGGGTTAGTAGGATTTAAAAAAATATAGCACTTTAAAGATACTTTGGTTGCCTTGTGATATCCATTGTTACTGATGAAAAAACCTATGGTCATTCAAATAATTATTTTCTCATATCAATGTATCATTTGTCTCTAGCTGCTTCCAAAATATTTTATCTTTGGGTTTCAGTAGCTTTTTTTTTCTTTTTGGGTTTCAGTAGTTTTATTATGATTTGTTTAAGCATAATTTCCTTTGCATTTATCCCATTTGGGGTTTTCTGAACTTCAAAATTGATAAATCTGTATCTTTTGTCACATTTGGTTAGTTTTATGGCTACTAATTTTTCCAAAAATTCCCCCCCCCATTTTTTTCTTCTCTTATGATAATTATATGTACTTTAGACCTTCTGATATTATCTTGTAGGAACCTGAGGCTCTGTCATTTCTTTCAATCTAATTTCTGTTTCTCTATTGGCCAATCATCAAGTTTGTAGATTATTCCTCTTCTGTCATCTCCATTCACTACTGAGCCCATTGAGGAAGATTTTAATTTTCAGTTGTAAAAATTTTCAGTTCTAAATTTTCCATTTGCTTATGTTTATAACTTCTGCTTTTCTACAGAGAAATCCTATCTTTTCATTCATTTTTAGTGCATCTTTCTTACCTTATGGGTCAGATTTATATTTTATAATGTTATAAATATAATATAGAAAAATATATTTATAACTTATAAGAGCTTCTATTTGTGTCTACGACAGTTTCAATACCATTTCTTAATCTTGGGTTTGGCTTCTACCTATTTATCCCTTAGTATTGCTTACATTTTCCCAGTTCTTTATATTTTGAGTATTTTTTTTTTTGACAGATCCTGCCGCAGGTTTATTTGTACAAATAAAATAGCACAGGAGGACACTAGGCCCATGCCGAGAGAAGCCTGGGGGTCATACCAGTCCTTCCATCCTCACACTGGCAGGCAGAAGCCTCCACACTGGAGCCTTTGTGGGGGCCTGGACACCTTTGGGAGCCTGTGCTGCAGGAGTAGAAGCAGGAGCTGGAGCTGGGGTTGCAGCTGCAGCCTGGGCCTTGGTTTGAGCCTTGGCCTTGGCCTTTGGCCAGCAGAGCCTGAGACCTTTGGCAACGCGGGCACGAGCACTTTTCCCGAGCTTGGGGTGAGCAATGTAGGCAAGTCGATTGAGCTTGTGGCTGCCGCCCTTTGGGATCTTGGGCTTAACCTCCATGGGCTTGACAAGGGCCTTGATAGCCTCAGCAGCGCAGTCATGGCCTTGGCATTGTTGGCCTGCATCTTCTTCAGGCCCTTCTTGTTGTTCTTCTTGGCAAAGCGCGTGTTCCTCAGGAACTTGGGGTCTACCCCCTTAAGAGATTCGTATCTTTGTGACCGGGGTTTCTTGATGCCATTTCTGTGCCATTTTCATGACTGGTTGTGCGTGGTGTGGTTCTTGGACTTGGCCATGTCTGCACCAAAGCAAAGCCCGTGGCTCTATTTTGAGTAATTTTGAATTGTATCTTGGACTTTGTGACTATTAGCCTACACTTTTAGTCCTGTTACAATCCTCTGAAGAATGTTTGTTTTGTTTTAGAAGGCAATCTCCCCTCTTAGATGCATATTGTAAGTTCTGTTTCTTCTTCTTTTTGTATTTGTTCCAACAGTTGGTTTAGGACTGTCCCATACATGTCTGGGATTAATCCTAGATTTGTGCACTACATATACAGAATTAGAGACCCTTCTCTGATTGTCTTCCCTCTGGGATTCCTTCTGACAGTCTCTGGCTTTAAAGACCCCGATCTTGGGATCCCTGGGTGGTGCAGCGGTTTAGTGCCTGCCTTTGGCCCAGGGCGTGATCCTGGAGACCCGGGATTGAATCCCACATCGGGCTCCTGGTGCATGGAGCCTGCTTCTCCCTCTGCCTATGTCTCTGCCTCTCTCTCTCTCTCTCTCTCTCTCTGTGTGTGTGTGTGTGTGACTATCATGAATAAATAAAAATAAAAAAAATAAAGACCCAGATCTTTTTCCCTCTGGCCAGCAGGACATGATTCCTATTACCATTGCCACATCAATTCATAAGATTGATCACGCTCTTCACCTGACTCACACATCACTGTTTAGGATAGCAGGGTGCAGAATTTTGGTCATCAGCGGCTGACCTAGGAGACCCTCCTCAAATAAGGTTCTTGGAGTGGCTGGTGTTCAGATGATACTGGCTTGCCTAATGTATCAATCACAAAAATCTCATTTTAAAACTGGAGAAAAATAGATACCTTCAAAGTGACTTGGAGTTCTGATTATAATGACATAAATCACAGGGAAAATAACATGAAAGAAAATTCTGAAACAAGTCATACTCTAAGAGACATACCACACTGTGAAAGAGGAAAGAAAAGATAAGTAGGCAAATCAGGAAATCAAAATAAAAGAAAGAGGTAAGCAAAACAAAACATAAATTGAATAAGAAATGTCAAAGTGAAATATGAACATTCATTTGGAAAAATTACCACTCAAGGGCCATTTAGAACTAAAGCGAAGGCTGCGGTTTCCTCAGAAGAAAGTTAACACGGCTAAAATTTCTCTTAAAAACTTGGTCAAGGAAGCAATCACTTTAGACGTTGTGTCATTCTGCAATTATCTGAATCATGAATAATCATATGGCACACAGTGTTTTCAAATGGACTGCAAACTAGTGAAGAATGCTAAGGTCATTGTACTCAAGCCAGTGGTCAGAGAAATGGAGAATATAATGACGGAGGAAACTCTTTGCCAGATCCCAGTGCAAATTTGGGCATTATGACCTTGTGGGTGGCACAGATTACAGGGGGAAAAAAGGAAGGATGAGCACATCTGTTTTCACTGTACGATACCATCATAAAAATGCACATTTCTTAGGATGGAGATGTATAAATAATATGATTTATCTTTAGGATTTACAATGTGCCTTATGTACATGAAAGGGCATATTTTTTTAAGATTTTATTTATTTATTCATGAGAGACACAGAGAGAGAAAGAGAGAGAGAGAGGTAAAGACACAGGCAGAGGGAGAAGCAGACTCCATGCAGGGAGACCCACGTGGGACTTGATTCCGGGTCTCCAGGATCACACCCTGGGCTGAAGGCGGCGCTAAACCACTGAGCCACTCAGGCTGGAAAGGGCATATTTAGTTTGTTACTATCATAAAGGTCAATTTCACCTTCATTGTCATCATTATAATCCTCTTCTAGAAACTGAAGTATAAATGAACAGAAAGGATCTGGGAGGTGAAATTGACAATACACCACACATGTGGGTTTGGGCTGTGGATTTACTGGTCAATATCCTCTACCTTGTGGCATATGGACCAGGGAGGGAACTGTGGAGAAACAGCTGGTAGAGTCTAGGAAGGCAAAATCATCACCAACTAGATGTCAGTGTACAGAGCATGGTGAAATATACTAACTGCAAGGAAATGAAAATGGGAAATCTGAGGAATATTTGAATACATGAGTAGCAGCAATCTCCAAAAAAAACACGGGTAAGAATTATCCATTGCTTTTGCAAATTTCAAGGACTGCAAAGTTCAGTTCAGGGTGGTCCCTTACACATGGGTACTTATAGTCTCAATATTTTTACATCTATTTTGAGAAAAATCAAGAGAAGAGTAATTATTATTCCAAAGTAAAGAAACAAGAAAACCCCAGAGGTGCTTTATCACAAATATGAAACAGTCATTACTGGGAAGCCCAAACAGTCCTACATAAGAATTGGTTTCCATAATCCACCCATTAATGACATAAAAGTAGTCTTACTTTTTTCCTCTTTAACATCATCTTCTTTGTATTTTAGTAACAAAAAAGTAGATCAGTTCCCATTTATCTGATAATAAATTCATGATAAGATATAGTTTAGAAAAAAAAAAACCCAAACATAGAGATCAGGGCAGATGAAAATGCTCTGTTACACATTTTCCTCTTAATGAAATGGGTTCTGGCTAATGCTCAATGAGAAGGAAGGGGTATTTTTAAAATGAATAATACATGGAGAAGAGACAAATAGACAAAACAGTCCTTTTCCCTACCAAATATTGTAAGATTATATGCTTAAGTCTTCAGCAAACAGGCAAGGGACGTTTCTATCATCATCACTGTGTTTTCTTTATTTTTTGTGTAACTGCAGCCTCATTTTCACCATCCTCTGATGTGAAGCTTTCTAGCTGCAAGAGCATATGATTCAGTACTGTCAACATTAATTTTAAATTCATGAAATTAAAACTGAGAAAAGAAAGATCCTCATGAGAAAATACTGGTAAATATTTTGAAGGAGTGTGAGGTTAAACTCTCTTGATAAAATGATGTTTTAAACGAAGAACCTCACTTTCTTTTCAAGACATACATTATTTTTAATGGCCCAAATTAGAGGGTTATTAAAGAATAGTTCTAATTGATTTATGAAGATGAGAGAAGTAAAGCAGTATTTTTTAATGAAAACCCAGAGCTAAAATTTATTCCTTTATGAGGAATATTAATATGAATTAGTAATATATTCTGCTCTAAAATGACAAAATGTAATATCTCCTTGAGATCTGAACTAGCAAGTCAATAAAAGTAACTTTATTCAGGGCTCCTCAGTGGCGGCAGCAGCGGCAATGATCTAATCATGTCAGATAAAGATGATATTGAGGGATCCCTGGGTGGCGCAGTGGTTTAGTGCCTGCCTTTGGCCCAGGGCGCGATCCTGGAGACCCGGGATCGAATCCCACGTCGGGCTCCCGGTGCATGGAGCCTGCTTCTCCCTCTGCCTATGTCTCTGCTTCTCTCTCTCTCTCTCTCTCTCTCTCTCTCTCTGTGACTATCATAAATAAATAAAAATTTTAAAAAAACTTAAAAAAAAAAGATGATATTGAGACTCCAGTGGTAACTGAAGCAACCTCCACCCTTGAAGATGGGAACTGTGAGCTGGCCGAGAATTCTGAGTTCACTTGACCAAAGTACCAAGCCAGAGAATAAATCAGAGCTTGCAGCTATCACTAGGAAAAGACCAGAGTCCAAACCTTCCAGTGACCTTGAGACTTAAGAAGTTCTCCCTGTTGAGGCATCACAGGCTGTAGACAAAGCTAATTAGATACCTTCTCTGTATTCTTATTCTTTATTTTTTTCCCTTTTCTTTTGCCTTTTGTTTTTCTGCCTACTGGGAAGAACAGGAGATTGTTTCCAAAGATGTACCTCAGACCCTATGGGATATTGGGGCAGCTGGGGCAAGTCCTTGCTCTCTTCAGCCTCAGCTACAGTAGCTACAGTAGGACAAGGTATTTCAAATGTCATTGAGAAGGCAGAGACTTCTCTTGGAATTCCTAGTCCCAGTGAAATTTCAACTGAAGTCCAGGATGCAGCAGGAGAGACAAATGCCAGTGAGAACGCAAACTCCTCCTCATTGATTGGGCCATTTGGTGTATTTTCAACCATCTCTACTGCTGTTCAAACCACAGGAAAGAGCGTGATCAGTGGGGGTTTGGATACCTTAGAATTCATTGGGCAAAAGACAATGGATGTAATAGCAGAAGGGGATCCTGGATTTAAAAGAACCAAGGGTCTGATGAACTGGAATTCTACATTGTCTCAGGTTTTACGAGAGGCAAAGGAGAAAGAAGAGCTATGGACCTCCAATGAGGTTACCTTGGAAACGGACAAGAAAACTCATTATGGGCTCCTTTTTGATGAATTTCAAGGCCTTTCGCGAGAAAGTGAAATAAAGGTGAAATCTATTCTTAATTCAAGTGGAGAAGAACTACAGACTCTAAAACTTGAATTGGAGCAACTCAAGGAAGCATTTTTTCTAGCAGAGTTCTGTGAGGAAGAGGAAGAAGAGAAAAAAGATGACGAAGACTTTACCAAAGAAATAACAGAGCTATTTTCCCAGCTGCATGTCTCCTCCAAACCTGAGAAACTTACCAAGGCAAGGAATACTGCCTACGAATGGATCAGTACATCTCTGGCCAAGCCATCAGAAGAGAAGAAAGATGGAGAGAAACAGTTGGAAACAGAAAAAATTGAGCAAATCAGTAAAAATTCAATAGAGGATATCCATGCATTTGCAATCCGGAGCCTAGCAGAGCTGACTGCCTGCTCAATTGAACTGTTTCACAAAACAGCGGCTCTGGTTCTGCATGGCCAGAAGCAGGAAGTGACAGCCATAGAAAGAAGCAGAACTCTTTCCCAGATGACAATTGTGTTGTGTAAAGAGTTGTCTTCTCTGTCCAAAGAGTTCACCACTTGCCTAACAACTGCTGGGGTCAAAGAAAAGGCAGACATCCTTAATCCCCTAATCACTGCAGTATTTCTGGAGGCATCAAACAGTGCTTCCTATATTCAGGATGCCTTTCAGCTGCTCTTACCTGTGCTGGAGATCTCTCTCATTGAGAACAAAACTGAATTACCAGAGGCATGAGCTATATACAGGCCCAGGGTCTTTGTCAGAACATTGAAGAACAGAGAGGATTCAACCCAAAACTTGTGGTGGCCAAGAAATGCCACTCTCTTTGGGTACCCCTGCAGAAGGGAAGGAGAAAGGATTCTTTTAGTGTATAAAATTTGGTCAGGAGAGCAGGTTTAAAGTTTTGTTGCCTTCACTGCTTGGGTGAAATATTCAGGTCTTCACACTGCCCTTCTAAGTTGTTAGAATTATTAAATTATTTGAGAAGGAATTTTTATGGAAAGTTCAAGAATAATAGCTCTAGATAAAGGTTAATGGGAGACTCAGGCAAAAATATTGCTCTTTATTGGACATGATGCAAAACACTAACAGTTTTGTTATGGTTCTGTATGATTTTGCAGCCCACTGATATAATTGGTTGTGAAGCAAGAGAGAAACAATTTAGTATTCTAGAAGTCCTGTGCTTGATCTGTCGATGCCATGACCTTTCTCCTTTCTATAATAAAATCTGTGGCTTTAAGAAAACAGTATATAGAAACTGTAATGATTACCTAGATTCTTAGGACTTGGTTAGAAAGTTTCATGTGTTCTTTAATTCTCAATAGGTCTTTGGCATGGAGGAGAAACTTCTGAAATGTACTTGAAGCCACATGAATTAACTACAGCAAAGTGCCCTTTGGCTTTAAATTGTTCTTCTACCCTAAGGTGACAAGCTTCAAGTTGTAATTGAACCCCAGTCAAGGGGGTTCCAGACCAATAAGTGCAACTTATAGAAACAATTTCATGTTTGCAGGTATTCCAAGTCTCTCCAGGATGTTTTTCATGCATATCTTATGTGCAGGATAAATTCTGTAATAGCCAGCTCCAAAGGAGTATTGAAGCTCTTTCAGTAATGGAGTTTTTGTTATTTAAATGCTGTTGAAGGGGACTATAGAGTCCCATAGAAATCATTTATAACAGAATTTAACCTGTAAGATACAATATGTTTTTCCTTATTTTTGTTTTTTGTTTTAAAACAAAATACATTAAAACATGTATTCCTTAGCATGTTTATAAATACAACTTTTATCCTTTAGATCTTAAGCCTTCTTTTGCTCTCTTCAACAATGTAAGAGGCTAATAAGGTGTTATCTTCCTAAAAGTTATTTGGTATCCACTCTTTTTTAAAAAAAAATTCTCCAACTTTGTTGTTGGAGGTAACTTTTGTGAGCTCTACCACTCATCTTCTAAAACGTTTAAATAAAAAGTAATAACTGTGTCACTTGAAAAAAAAAGTAACTTTATTCAGAAAAATGTATGCATACCTGAAATTAATTAATTCAGTTTTCAAATGAAAAAGTCGAATATTTTTCTGAGTCACCAAATTAAAGTACTAAACATACTTAAAACATTTCCCCATTCCATTATAGAGATAACAATCTTCTGAACTATGGGAGATATTTAAACCTGAGGCTACCAAAAAATCTTACCCAATGTTAAGACCCAATTTGCCTCTTTCCCCAGCCTGCCTAGTATCCTGCCCATGCAGTGATTCTAAGTCTGTGGAATAGAGGCACTTACCAGATGGACATGTGGGGCGCATGTGAGAAGAATCTGTATAGTTGAAAGGAAAGAATATCTCATATCTCTACATGAGATAACCTCATATCTCTATATCTATATCATATATATCTATATCATATATATATATATATGAAATAACCTCATATCTCTATAGGCCCATAGTTTTAGCATCTGTATAAAGGTGACAAGATCTGGCTTGGAGGACAGAACCATGGAGTCCCCAGTAAAATGTTTACCTGTCCCTTAATTGTACTTTATTCTCTGTTGGAAAATAATTATCTGGGAAGATCTGTGCCCAAAGCTTTTCTATAAACACCCTTCCCGTATCTGTGTGGAAGGATCAGAAGATCAAAATCATGGTAGAAAATACAGTTCTTTCATTTTTAATCCTAAAATCAAATTTGTATAATCCCATTTCATTCTTTGTAATGCCACCCTCTGGGATGAGAGATTCCTGGCATCTCCTATGAGTTCACAGTGGCTCTGAGTGTCTTCTTCCTACTGTGTGTGATGGGCATCCTCACCCCTAGGTTAACTCTGAGATGGAGCATGTAGTTTCTGAGTATCAGTGGTCCTGTATTTTATGATTTCCAAAACTGTAGTTCCATGTTTTAAGCTGTGAGTCAGTTTTAAAAATGAATTTTAAAAAATGAAATAAAAATAGAAATATAGAGGCAGAGCTGGAGGTTTAGAATTGAGGTAATCACAGGCATATTGAACATAATTAAAGCAGAAGTATAGCCCATCTTAATTATTATTTTTTTTTTAAATTTTTATTTATTTATGATAGTCACAGAGAGAGAGAGAGAGAGAGGCAGAGACACAGGCAGAGGGAGAAGCAGGCTCCATGCACCGGGAGCCCGACGTGGGACTCGATCCCGGGTCTCCAGGATCGCGCCCTGGGCCAAAGGCAGGCGCCAAACCGCTGCGCCACCCAGGGATCCCCAGCCCATCTTAATTAAACTCCATTAGGAATCTGAATAATTCAATCCTCATCCTAACTAATGGAAGTAGGAAAAGGTTTCCACTTTCTCTGAAACAAATAAGATAAAGTTATGTCTCAGTGTCAACTGTAATTTATACACAATTATATAAAAAATTGTATAACATCTGACAAAATAGGAGATTTATACTCAAAAATATAATCAATAGAAGCAGACTCACAGATGTCCCAGGTACTGAAATCAGGAGACAGTACTTTAAAATAACTATTATCTCCCAAACAAGTACCAACCAGGCCTGACCCTACTTAGCTTCCAAGATATCAAAGAGGAAGACAAACCATAAGAGATTCTTACCTATGGAAAACAAGCTAAGGGTTGCTGAAGGGGAGGTCAGTGGGGGATGGGGTAACAGGGTGATGGGAATTAAGGAGGGCATGTGATGTGATGAGCACTGGATGTTATACACAACTGATGAATTACTGAAAACTACATCTGAAACCTATGATGTATTATATGTTGACTAATTGAATTTAAATAAAAATATAAAAAATAAAACAACTATTTTCAACTATTTTAAAGATTAAAAGAAATAGAATGGATGAAAAGACAAATTATTTCTAGAGAGAATGGAAACCTAGAAGGAACTAAGTAGCGATGTAAGAACTAAAATATATCATATCTATAATCTAAAATTTCAGATGCGGGATCCCTGGGTGGCACAGTGGTTTGGTGCCTGCCTTTGGCCCAGGGCACGATCCTGGAGACCTGGGATCGAATCCCACGTTGGGCTCCTGGTGCATGGAGCCTGCTTCTCCCTCTGCCTGTGTCTCTGCCTCTCTCTCTCTCTCTCTCTCTCTGTGTGACTATCATAAATAAATAAAAATTTAAAAAAATAAAATTTCAGATGCATAAGCTTAATGGAGGATTGGATACTGCAGAAAAAAGCTTCAAGGAACTTCAAAACAAGTTAAAAGACATCCAAATTCATGCAGAGGGAAAAAAAGTTTTAAAAAATGAAACAAGCATAAGTATGATACGAAGCATTCTAAAATATGTGTAGAGCCTCAGATGGTAAAAGAGAGGATGACTACAGTTTTGTAATATAGCTTCAAGTCTGGAATTGTGATGCCTCCAGCTTTGCTTTTCTTTTTCAAGATTGCTTTAGCTACTTGGGGTCTTTTGTGGTTCCATACACATTTTAGGATTGTGTGTTCTTCTTCTGTGGAAAATGCTGATGGTATTTTGATAGGGATTGTATTAAATGTGTAGATTGCTTTGGGTAGTATAGATATTTTAACAATATCTAAATTATGAAAAGAGCACAAATATCCATCAACTAATGAATGGACAAAGAAGATGTGGTGGGTTGCCTAGATCACTCGGTTAGGCATCTGCCTTCAGCTCAGGTCATGATATCCTGGGGTTGGGCCCCATGTTGGGTTCTCTGCTCGGAGAGTCTGCTTCTCCCTCTCCCTCTGTGCTCTCTCTCCTTCTCTCTCAGATAAGTAATTTTAAAAATATTTTAAAAAAGAAAATGTGATACACACATACATATAGAGTATATATATGCAAATATAATGGAATATTATTCAGCCATCAAAAAGAATGAAATCTTGCCATTTCAATAACATGGATGGAGGTAAAGTATATCATGCTAAGCAAAATAAACCAGAGAAAGGCAAATACCATATTATTTCACTGATCTGTGGAATTTAAGAAACAAAACAGATGAACATAGGGGAAGGAAGAAAAAAAAGAGAGGTAGACAAACCACGAGAGACTCTTAACTAGAGAACAAACTGAGGGCTGCTGGAAGGAGGTGGGTGAGGAATGGGTTAGATGGGTGATGGGTATCAAGGAAGGCTCTGTTGTGGTGAACACTGAGTGTTACATGTAAATGATGAATCATTATATTCTATTCCTGAAACCAACATTACACTATATGTTAACTACCTAGAGTTTAGATAAAAACTTGAAGCAAAAAGAAAAAGAAAGGGGAATATTAAAAGAAGATAATGGCCACAGGTTTTCCCAACCTGAGAAAATATACAGACCTATAATCTGAACAAACTCTGAGAAAAACACAAAGAAAATGAGACCTCAGCCCATTACAGTGGAATTATTTCAAAACAAAGAGAAAATGTTAAAAGCAGTCTAAAAGCATTACACAAAATATTATAAGAAGGAAAAACAATTTACTATCAGAAATAATGAAAACAAAGACAACAGCCAATACCTGAAAACCTAAAGAAATTTTTTCTACAGATTTCTATATCCAGTGAAAATAATGTTTCATGATGAGAACATTAGTGATAAATTTCAGATATAGAAAAGCTGAAAGCATTAATCATCAGCAGAAACAAATAAAATATATAACATAAGATTTTTCACGATGCAGATAAAGTGATTGAAACAGGGATCTAAAGGAAGAAATTAATAATAAAAAATGGCAGGTATGTGGAAAAGGTACCAAAAACTATGTTTTTTCTCTTTTCCTAATTTCTTAAAAAGTCAAATGACTAAAGCAAAAATAATAATAATTGACTGAGGGATGTACAACATTTGTAGAACTAAAATATAGGATGAAGGACAGAAATGGGGTAAAAGGAAGTGTAATGCAAAAATTTTACATT